ATGAAAAATTTTTTGATAAATCATATCTTTAATTTGTTTCTTTTTTAGCTTCGATGCGAAGCTGAGAAGGTATTGGTTTTACTAAGATGTGTTTTTTTTTTTTTTTTTTTTTTTTTNTTATTTTTTACATTTTTAACTTTATAATGCTATGACATATTTAAAAGTGTATGGATCAACATTATTTTTTTATAAGAAATAATATTTTTTAATAATCCCTTTTTCATTCGACATACTTTATCTTAATTAGGATATTAATAATGAACTAGCAGATCATGTAGCTTTTGGAATAATCCATCAATTTTTTAAAATTAAACACTATCTAAAGATTTGCATCGAAGCGTTTTTTTTTTTATAGTGATTTTAATCACTGTCAGATATCATTATACTTGATCCATCTATGCCACGTCACCACTGTGCTGGGTTTTTTTTACTTTGTATTTATGGTTCTGTTTATTTTAAAATATACTTATACTCCACTCTCAATGTATTAAAACGCTTGTATCTCTATGAATATTTGTCTTAAAATTATTATCGATCTATAAAATTGTTTTTAAGAAAAATACTAAAATAGGCTATTTTGAAATGACTTGACTAAGAAGTAGCTCTTTAGTCTTTCCCCCCCAATTTCCACTAGTGTATATTTACAAGTTAACTTATGGGTTTAAACTATTTCTAAAAGCTAAAAAATTGCATGATTTTGTTATTATGTGAGGAGGGAATAAGATATGTCTCTTATGTATTACCCACTCCAAGTTAAATTCTATTCACTGCTGTGTACACTCTTTAATCTTATAATATTAATAGGTTTTGTTAAACAAACAATATTATTAAGTTTTTATGTACCTATAATTCTACAATCCATTTTTCTTAACCTTAAAAGTTGCTCTATGTTGTATTTTTAATACAATTATTTATTTAAATAAAAAACTTCGAATAGCTTCTGCTATACTACAGACCATATGAAACGTATCTTGAAGGCCAAATGGTAAGAAAGAAGGTTCATGTCAATCTAATAGTTACTCAGCTGTATTTTTTCGTGGCTCATACTATTGTAGTAGCTATTTGAAGTTTTTAATATTTTAAAATAACAATATTAAAAATATAACATTGAGCCACTTTTATGATAAGCAAAATAGATTGTAGAATTATAGGTATATGTAAACTGAATATTATTTGTTATAATAAACTATAATAATATTAAAAGAGTGTATACAGTAGTGTATTTATAAATATTCTTTATAACAACGTTTACAACCATAATTAAACATTGACGTCATCTCATTATTGACGCATTAAAGTAAATTTTAACCATTGTATTTAATTCAAAATGATACTAATTAAAATAAACACAATCCACTGAAGAAAAAATAATTATTGTTTTTATTATTAGAAATAATAATTTTAATAATTGGCACATTATTTTTAAACTCTTCTTTGACATTAGTGTAGTATTGTTATCGGTTTTTATTATACTTATTTTCTGCTATTCGGAGAATTCTTAGTAAGTAATGTTATATTAAATTATTATTCATGAAATTAAATATATTTCGTTTTCGAAGAAAAGGTAATTATAACGCGCAATTTCATCTGTTTGTACCTAATCATTAGATGTTTGAAATGATATAAAATTTATAAGACGTCGCGTACAAAATTCTACTTATGAAATATTACTGTAACATGCTAACCGTCATACTATTATACGTGTTCTATTTTTAGCTTTTATATAATGTATTTCAATTACAAAAACACTTCCATCGCTCTTATACGCGTAAAATAAATTTTCGTTTAAACTTGTACAATTCATTTAATTTGTTCAGCCGTTTAAGCTTTGCATGGCTTGTACGTATCAACTGAAATAAAACAAATTAATACAGAATTTAGAGCAGATTTTATTAACAGTTGGCTCACTATAATAAAATAATATCGAATAATTTTTTGATATTGATACATAGGCGCAATTTAAATACAATTTTTGAGGGTGCTAATTGTATTTTCTCCCCTCTCTGAAAAAACACTTTATATATCAAAATAAATCATTTTCTTACATTTTTTCGGAGGGGTATCTCCCTAATGGCATTTATCAGTGACGGATCGTGGCTTGGACGACGGGACGATCGCACTCCCTACTAAAATAAATTTAAAAAAGAAAATTAATCGTATATTTTAATTCTGCATTTTTAAAAAATATTTTTCATTAAAAATGCAAATTTTTAAATAGTAAAATAGTTAAAATAAATTTGTCGTGTGCAAACATCAGTGTTGTTTCCCTCAGTATACGACGGTATGCATTCACATACGAGCAGTGTTTGGACGACCGACAGCCTCGTCCATACGGTAAAATATTAGTACATTACTATATTGGGTAATTTATTTTTAGAATTAATTACGTGTACGCTCGTCGTTATGTCGCTCTATACTCCAATTTCGTAAGCCCCTCAAAATATGAGCCACCTGGAAGAATTTTACGTTTCCTCTCGATCAAAAATTACCGTTTTTCTTCTGCGGTCTCGAAACCGGTACTCTTCGACGGCGCTTATCGTTTCGCGTCTTTTCTGACCTGCGCGCAAATTTTCCGGAGCCTCCGTTTTAATACTTTTGCGATTTTCCGAATTTCATGGAACGGAAAACGGCGCCAATCGGTTGCTCTAATAGTGTAATCGCTATTATTATTGTTTTCATTTCTATTTTCTACTGCGACATTTAAAATAATAATATGTGTATTGTGTTTTATTTTATTATATTTAATTTGACAATTTTTTATACCTATAACTAGCGATATTATATTTAAAGTCGCACCCCCACCACCAGCACCCACGAGCCACAACTAGCATCTATGCCTTAATAAATAATTTAATAATTATGCTGAGCATTCCTAAAATTTTACTTATTTTAACCGCTAAAATATTATAAATATTTTTAATAAGTATTCAAGTACAATGAATTCGAGTTTGTTTTAACATTTAATTTATACACATTTTCATTAAAGCTTGCATCATTTATAAACATAAAGATGATTGTAAGCATAGAAATTTATACAGCATTCCGTTTAAAACATCTCACTAAAATCTATTATTAAATTGAAAAAGTAATAGTGATGCAGTAGTCTAAATTTCTAGAAAATGAAGTACCCTTTCTAATGTTTTAGGCAATATTATTTATTATGTTAGTATATTAAATATTAAATTTAAATGAATGTTTTTTCCAAATAAATGTTGAGTGTTACTATAGTTACACGGCGGTAGGTAAAGAAATACATTATATATGCGTGTATCCTCTTCGGACACGCCTATCCAAGTTTTGAATAATAGTTATCCATTTAACGCATCTTTAGTATTTCACTTGCTGTTCTATGGGTCTCGTTCCTCGTGTAGAAACATGAAGCAATTAAAAATATTCTACTATATAATTACGACCATATTGTTTTTTTTTCAGTATTATATAATTAATTATACACAAAAATATACAATGTAATCCTTGATTGATGTAAAAATGACCTGCAAAACAGATCTATATTAAAGTATTTTGAAAAATAGTTCCTTTACAAAAACATAAAAAATAACGATTTAAATATTAAATGTAACTCATATACAAAGCAATCCATTTTGGATTAGACACTCGTTTTTTGAGAAACTATAAAACTTTTCTTTTTTTTTTAAGAAAAAAATATGGTACAAATACGCTACAATTTTATGTAATAATTAATTTTTTTTTATCCTTTTAAATTATCTTATATTAAATTTCTTTAAATAGGAACCTTTTATTTTTAAATAACAAGTAAATTTGGTCTTAACATTTTTTTGTCCTGTTAATTGTTCATCTGTTACAGCATGATAAAGTTTAGTAATTTAAGATCAAATTACTAATGATATTTCATTGTTGAGAAAACGTCATAATTTTTATATTTTGTTGCAAAAACTAGATTTTATTAATACATGTGATATTTATGAATTCGGAAATCTTATCGTTAATAACTCAATATCTATTAATAGTCAATTAATATATTGATATTACACAATATAATAATTGTAAATGATATTAATAATTTACCCAAGTTTGCAATGCAGACTCTCGTGTCTTTAAATTTAAATTGTTTTCAACGTGTCAAAAACTTTGATTAATTTTAAGTTTGGTGAATGCAAGTTCAAAATAAAAACTTATTTCCCCCTTCAACCTATTATATATTTTTTTAACATATTAACACATGAAGTAGTATCTTATATAAGCAATTTACATAATTAATATTTAATTGACGGTTGATATGGTAAATCAAATAAAATTAACTTTTCTATCTAATTTCAAACTTACAAACTTACTCGTTAGTAAAATAAACATAACAGGATTATATTTACAAGTATTTTGCGTTCAGAATAAAAAATTTAATTACACTATTTAGTATATATTAGCTTCGATGCGAAGTTGAGAAGGTTCCAGCTCTCACTGGACCGATTTCTTTCAAGAATACGTCAAAAGATCACAAATCGTATCAAGTTGAAGACATTACCCTTAAAAATTGAAAAAATTTCCCGTAAATGAGAGAAATCTTCAAAAAATTACAATTTTTATTTTCGGTAAATATATATTTTTTTTTTTAATAAAATGACCAAACAATACAGGCCGCTGATAAGGCGTCCTAACAGCTGATGACGCACAAGCACTACCAGCTGACCACACCCAACCAGCGCAGCTCTTATGCTTGGCGCGAACAAACACTTAACCTGCTCACAAGGGAGTATTTAAAATAGCAACTTTTTTACATAAACTAACTTTTGAAAATGTTCCGGAAATATTCACAATTTTACTTAATCTTAAATTATAGCTTATATTATATACTTTACTATGAAAAAATAAAAATTTAAAATATACATTTTCTTCTTGGTGAAAATGGCTACCATATTCAAAAATATGCTATTGTAGTGAAAAATATTAATAACAAAAATTATACAACTACACATTAAGGCGTCTGGGTACCGACCTTTTTTCAGGGGTCGAATATAGGCAATTTTGCAGTTTTTAATGTTACGCAGTGTCGTTGTGTGAGAAATAAATGATTATTAGTATGAGTGTCCATTATTGGGAGTATTTTCGTCGTGTTATAGTCGATAACAAAACCGTTAGTGTACCTGCCTTACTTTTTGATGCAATACGATTATATTGATAACGACACACGTTTATTTTATGTAGTATAAAAACTATAGTTTAGCACCAGCCTCATTGTAAATACTAATAGACGCGTCATGATTTCACAAATTTTAATTGATTATAAAAATAATTAAACTATTTATTTTTGACGAGTAAGAAAAACTAAATATTTATAGAAAACAAGTTAAATCATATGAGATCCACATCGATTATTTTGAAGTTATAAAACTATAAAAAATCTAATTTTAATTATAAGAATTCAATTTACAAAATTACTTTATTTACACACTAAAATATTTAAGTTTTATAAGCCATAATGGGAAGTCCTTTGTCATTCACTTCTCCATTTTCAGTAGCAAGCCTAGTTTCTTTTTTCCCCGCTAACTCTATCGAATCCCATGCACTTTTTCAGTTTGCTTAGCAATTTAATCATGATATATTTGATACGTTTTATTACTCATACAAGGCATATTTAGTACAACAGAAAACTATTCTAAATTTGTAAACCCCTGGCCAGTATTCAAAGTAGCAGTAACAACTGCAGTATTTATACTAAAAGAATCATTTAATTTGAGATCCTCTGAATAAATAATTTCTTTTTTTTTTTGCAAAAATTACATTCAAAGTAAACAAAGTACTTTTTGTAAATATAATTATGTTCTAAAATTGATACATTCTCACCGCGGGAATCATTGGACCGTTGACTTCTGGGACACTGACGTGACTGACGCTCTCTGGACTGACAATGGTAACATGGACGACGTTCATCTCGACGAGCTGGACATGAACTTGAATAGTGGCCAATGGATCCACAATTGAAACATCAAACATTGGCGTTCTGATTACTTGGACGTCTGGATATCCTCGGCGTAGACTGACTAGATTGAATTGGTGGACTGGATGGTCTAGGCTCAATAGCAGGGAGCTATCGATTAAAAGATACTCTAAATCTATGTGGGCTGGTAACTTGCGTGTAACGACTCTTAATTGATCCTTCGGCTCGGAAACGGTCTTGACGAGCATTATCAATTTTTTCATAGTTTCTTATGTCAGTTAAAAGTTCATCTTCGTTTCTATGATCACGAGCAAGCAAGCAAACCTTCCACTATCTGTCGTTTACTTTCATCAAACGTAAAGTTAATGTCACGGCAAAGTTGCATTTTGTGATGAAAATATTCAAAAACGCAATCATTCTTTAATTGTAATCGATAAGACATGAGACGAACTCGATCGACTGTATTGAGTCGGCATCCAACAAACGTTCTGGTAAACTGTTCAATAAAACTATTCCAATCGGCAAACTGGCGCGAAGAGTACCAATATTTGGATGGGCCAATTAACTATAACCGCACAAGTTCGAGTTTAAAGTTATCGGGCCAGCAATGTAATTTAGCCACACTTTCAACTGATTGAAGCCAAAGCTGAGCGTCCCTAGTTGACTCGCGGCCTGTAAAGTTACTGATACTGTTATTGAAATCGGGCATGATGAAATATCCTTGAGATGGAGGAACGGGTGGTGCTGCATTGTCATCTGAGTTCTGATTATTCTTCGATAGTAACTGCTGCATTAGAAGATTATTTTGAATGACCAGTGTAGCCACTGTACCACGCAGATCAGCCGCGCTGTTATGAACGTTGAAGTTCGTGTCACCTTCCGGCTCTATAATAAGAGAGGATGTGCTGCCGCCTGACATTGCGTCTCTGACGTCACTTGCTGGTAACACCGACTGACCCGTAGCCGTATGGACTTTATAACCTCAAACGAACTGGATAAATTCAAAACTCGCAAAAATATTTAAGTTGCAAACAATATCACAGAAACAATTAAAACATAAATTAATCACTTCGAATAATACTTATCTAACTCAACAAAGCAACGAACGAACAACGATACAATAAACGGACAATAACCGGCATCGGCTAGCGGTCTACCCCGCACCTGAATTTGTAGTGAAAAATATTAATAACAAAAATTATACAACTACACATTAAAAGTACTTTTTGTAAATATAATTATAATTAATTAATATGACAATTAAACATTATTCGATTAAACTAACAAAACAATCGATCACTCAACGGCGGAGGGTCAAGCACACACTGATTTTATTTATCGATAGGCCTTATCGCCTTCATGACAATTATAGAATACTACACTATTTTTGTATTAAAATTCTGGCTTTTGTATTTTATTTTATTTTGAAATATCTTATAAAGGGAATACACAGATTTTGTTTAATAAATATTATATAATTTAATTGACTAAGATTAAAATTCATAAGACACAAGAAATTAAACTTAATCAAATTTGTTTGCTTTTTTAAAGTTGAAAAAGTAACTTTTAAATTTGAATTAGCTTAAATTGCTAATTTTATCGTTCAACGGAAGCCACAAACAGTTACCGAATCGGCAACACTCATGTCTTTCACATTTAGAGTAGGAGGTTCGAATCCGCCTGAAGCATTAGCATTTTGCATTTTTTTTTTAATTTTCAAATCATTTGATTTTTTCATTTAGATTCGATAACTTCAATAAATATCAAGGATCCCATCACTATTGTTTAATTTTAAAAAAGTTATGGGAGTTTTAACTAAAAAAAATTGAAAAAATGTCAAAAATTAACGATTTTTAAATTTGTAATTTTTTTGGAGGTTTCCCCCATTTACGGGGAACGAGGGAAATTTTTTCAGTTTTTTGAGGGTAATGTCTTCGACTAGATACGATTTGTGATTTTTTGACGCAACGTCGAAAGAAATATTCGTACTTTTATCTCATATAATAAATATATTTTACAATGTTTAGGTATAAAATTATTATTTAGCGATTACTTTATTTTGTACACCAAATAAAAATAAATATTCGTTTTAGTACGGCATACATTATAATAAAAATGTTCTGAATGTAAAATAACTGTTATTATTACTGATAATATTATAATTTTATGTATAAAATAAGTTATATTAATAATACAATAGTACAACAAGTAGATGATATGTCAATTCGAGAAAAATATTGTACAAATATTTTGAATCTTAAAGTAACAGTAGTTACGGTTATCAAATTCATCGAAATACTCTTACAATCACTCTAAGCTTAACAGATAATTATCTGGAGACATTTGGAAGCTTAACATTATAATAAGTAAACATTTTTCTATATTTTAATTCAAAATAAAATGCAATATGATTTTGGCATTATTAATATTTGATTTATTATTAATAATATTATCTTTTAATTTTAGAAATAAAATATTTCAAACTATTAAATTTTATTTTATTTTTTAATTTAATAGTCCTTATTTCTATACGCATATATAAGTTCTAAAAATTAAAANATTTAATAGTCCTTATTTCTATACGCATATATAAGTTCTAAAAATTAAAAAATAATTGAATATTAGAAATAAGAAATATTACTAAAAA